CGCGTTAGAGTTTGTACAAAAATGCAAAAGTTGCCAATTACATTCCAATCTTACGCATGTGCCGCTGGTAGAACTCACATCATTTCTGAGTCCTTGGTCTTTCACCCACTGGGGGTTAAATATCATGGGATCAATTCTACTAGTTACTGGACAACAAAAATTCATCATCTTAGCTGTCAGCTACTTCACCAAATGGGTAAAAGCGGAGCCACTCGTCAAGATCACTGAGCAAATGTCAAATAATTTGTCTGGAAAAATATCATCTGTCGCTTTGGGCTCCCCGCAAAGATTATCACTGATAATGAGACTCAATTCACTGGAAGGGTCTTCACATCATTCTACAAGGATCTTCACATTCAGTTGGTGCACACTGTCGTGGCGCATCCTCAAATAGACAGACAGAGGTGACAAATCAGACGGTGCTCAAGGGGTTGAGGCCTCTCTTGAGCATGCTGGGTGGCAGTGGCTGCAAAATCTCCCTTGGGTCTATTGCACCACCGTACGAACTCCAACCGGAGAAACTCCTTATAACTACTGTCGACACTCAGGCTGTTATCCCAGATGATATCGAAGTTCCAAACCCGCAAGATAAGACTTTTGACAACGAGGAAAAGCTCCGACAACATTTGGATCTCCACCTGGAAACACGCGATGTGGCTCATCTTAGTATTGAAGCCGCCGGTCATGGTTCCCAACACAATAAACTATCGCCTCTCTGGGAAGGCCCATATATCGTGACTACCATGATCAAGTCTGGAACCTTCAAGCTCAAGGATTCAGATGGGAAATTCATGCACTGGACTTGGAATTCAGAAAATCTTCGCAAGTACTATCAGTAACACCCCAGTCATGTAGTCCACATATGTTATTACATCGCAGATCATACATGATCAATGAATCCCAAACATTATTCATTTACTCTCCTCTACATAGAGGGTATCTTTAAAAAGTGTAATAGCTCATTCACGAGCCCCTTCATGCTCTCGATTGTCTTTCAACTGCCATGCGTTCCAATTCTGTGGGCTGAAGCTGCATTTTACATTCCGAGCGGGTTTGCTGTTTCAGTTTCCAGCCAGCCGGTTGGATGTGCATTTTTGTAGAAAATTGAGTTATGAAAGTTATACATATATATACAGATATATATTGTTAGGTATGGCTCATATCTAGGGAGTTGGAGTTTCTTGGTGAAGAGGTGTGTCTCCTGGTGAAAAGGAGTGTCTCTTGGAATAAAGGGGGTTGGGGGAGCGAGGGCGTGTTGGTAATTTATCTATGGGTTTTTTATATGTTTATATATATATATGTGTAACTCATGGGTATGTAATTGAACTCCCCCTCTGAAATAGTGAAACTTGCCGCTCGCTCCCGATGATGTAGGTGATGTAGGCATCTTTGCCGAATCCCTGTGTTCTTCTTCTAGATTTGTTTCGATTCCTGTGTTTTTCTTCGCCCTAATTTCACAACAATTGGTATCAGAGCGAGGTTTTGTTCTAGAGCGGAGGAGATCGATGCAGGAAGAAGGAAGACGAAGAAGAACAGGAATTCAGAGGAAAAGAAGAATTTGTGGTTCCGATTGCGGAGAGCGAACGAAGGCGCAGACGTTGGAAGGCTCGCAGCAATTACTTATTTGGGGCGCTGCGGTAGAGGATTCAAAGGCAGCGGCGTGATATTCGTGGCAAGAGTTCCAGTTTTGTGATGAAAGGGAAGATTACTGCAGATAACATCTATAAACTGATAGGGAGTACAGTTGCAGGTGGAGATCGCTCTGTTGAATCATATGGTGAAAATGCAACAGGAACTTTGACCAAGCCAGGTTAGATGGTTTGGTTGCCCAACCCACTTTGGTATAAAGAAACTCGATGAGATATTTTCTTCTAAAGGGGCTGAATATTCACTAAGGTGGAGATTTGTTTGGTAGGCGCATATACCGGGTGATGCATATCTCCTAAGGTGTTGGATATTTGCCAAGGTGGAGAATTGTTAGGTATGGCTCATATCTAGGGAGTTGGAGTTTCTTGGTGAAGAGGTGTGTCTCCTGGTGAAAAGGAGTGTCTCTTGGA